TGGCCAGTTTATGCCTTGAGTTGTTCACTTCTTTTTGTCTTTCTCATCAGGCACTTCTGGATTCCATGGGTGCCAATGGATCTACAGGACCTGAAGCTGTTGCTGCTGCAGAGAAGAATGCTGCTTTACTGACTGCGAGGGCTGGTGCCAGGGATCCATCTGCAATCCCATCCATCTGCCGTGTATCTGCTGCTCTTCAATATCCTGCTGGTGAGTGGAGTTTAGTATGGTATAAGTGGTATGGATGATAGACCAGGTTGTTATCAGTCTGCTTGATGGAGTTAATTGGTTTGTTTTAGATAGATTATTGATATTTTTATTTAAGAAAGGTAAGTTTGAGCTATTTTTCCTTCTAAGATGGATTAACTGAAGGAAAGGCAATGGAGCAAAACATCATAACCAAAAAAAGGAATTGAGTTTTATTAATCTTTTCCCTCTTCTTTTAATTCTCTGGAATTTAGAATTATTGTTTAATTTCTTTTGTGTTGATTATTTATTTGCTCTGCTTGATGACTTCTTACTGCATAATCAGGCCTAGATGGTTCAGATTCTAGTTTGGCATCAGTATTAGAATCTCTTGAGTTCTGCTTGAGACTACGTGGTTCTGAGGCTAGTGTTTTGGAAGATTTGGCAAAGGCAATCAACCTAGTCCACATTCGGCAGGATATTGTTGAAAGTGGTCATGCGTTATTGAACCATGCTTATCGTGTTCAACAAGAATATGAAAGGTGACATGCACTTCTCTGTTGTCTCTCATTGCTGGTAGATTCATTCTTCAATTGATCTGCTACTTTTAACATTTTGTAACAACTTGGCCTACTTTTATGCTAATGGCATGATGCAGGACAACAAATTTTTGTTTGAATTTGGCTACTGAGCAAGAGAAAATTGTTACGGATACATGGTTACCTGAACTTAAGACTGCAGTTTTGAGTGCTCAGAAGTGTTTGGAAGATTGCAAATATGTGAGGGGTTTGGTAAGAAACTACCATCCAAACATTAGATCTCTTGTCATACTAATCTGCTGCGACTGCTTTGATATTCTTCTTTTTAAATCTTAAAATAAAAAATCAATGTGTAAATTCTTGAATCTAGTATAAGCGCTTGATATATGGTGTATAAAATACCATTGGATGTGCACTTATTATGGTTGAAATTACTAGGGATGGAACGGGTAGTTGCCTTTCAGATGTAGGTGATAGTCAAGGTTTTGAATGTGATCATTTTTAAAAATTTTCTTCTCGACATCATTTTCCTTATAGCTTGTTCCTGCAATATGATGATGAGGATGCGCATGTATTACATTCATGTTTTCTTTGGCACCTAAAGGTGCTTATTATGCTTGATTGTTAGAAACGCACGTGGAAAAATGATGCATTTTGATAAGGTGTACCAAGGAAGAAGTAGTTTTGCAATTAGTATATAGGTGCATGTGCAGTATTATGTGTTTTGTGTGTTTATGTGCTGTATATTGTATGAATTTATTAAATAGATGTAGGGACTGCAGCAGTTATGATGTGTGGTATTTTTATTAAGTATGGTGAATGTTAGTAGGAGAAAAATAGGGAGAAAACAGAGGGGGAGTGGGCTGTCTGGAATTAACTTCCAGACTAATTGCTTCTAATTGTTTCGTCCTCATGATGTAAAAAGAACTTTGCTGCTACTGTTCAGTTCTATACAGAAAAGTTTGTCAAAAATTTCTTTGAGTACTTTAAATTCAAGGAAATTGTTGGGTTCTCACTTAACGTGCCCATATTATTAACAAAATCCTGTAACTAACTTCTTAATTAAGTACATAACGATTTGGTACTAGCACCAATCATTATGGATGAACCACAGTCCATGTTTGAGATTTTTTATTTATTTTTATTTTAAAAATGTCATTGATCATTTGATTGACATGTAATTATTTTGTATACGGGTGATATCCCACTCATGTTTATATCAATACCACACTACACTTCTATTTAAAAAAAAATTTTTTGA